TGTCAGGAAGATCAATCTCAATTATTTGAGCATCGTAGTTCTTCTATGATTCATGTTGGTTGGTCTCACTTATACATGACGCGCGCACAGGTTTAAAGGAAAAAAGTGTTTCGTAACAGTCCGTTACTACTTATTGATAGCCAGCCAGTTCATTTTGTGACCGAACCAATGTGATAATTTGTCTTAGTCTAATTTCCCGTATACGTTTTGCATGAAAGTGACGTATGTGTAAGTTGCCTTAAATATCTGAAAAAAAAAATTGAAACAATAAATTACCACTAGAATTACATTCGAAGACGTAAATATCTGTTAAAAATATAATAAAAAATGTAATAGATACAAACGAAACGGCTTCAATGAGGTTATTCCCTTAAATTAAGAAAACGCCTATTTTGTTTTAACTTTTCTGTTTTTATAAGTATTTCTTTTATATGAACTCTTCCGTTTTTATCTTCACATTAGCAATAAGCTACTTTTGTATTTAATAAATACAATAAAGGAAATTAAACAAAAAAACTCCAACTAGCATGACACTTACCTTTACTGCTAACTCCAAAGTCATTGTTCCAAAAGGACCAATTGTAAGTGTGAGTGGTTTTTGAGACCGCATCATAATAATGTGAAGAGATGTTACATCGCTTTTGTCGTATTCAAACCATGGTAGTTCATAAACGGCATCAGATATTCCGATACTCTATAATAATACAAAGATAACTTGACGGCATTTCTATATATGTACTTCCATTTTAAATTGGCAAATAAGTGTATAAAAAGGCTAAGATCGTTTTTAAATTCTATAAAGTATACGTATAGGTGCCGATATTTGAATGTATACATATATTCTACCATACCTCCTCCCTGATTTGATCAGCGTGCCAGCACAATATTAGTATCTTTACTAGTAAATTAACAATGCAAGCTCCTGAAAACATCTTCGAGTTTGGGCTATTTGTCTGAAAATATATAGATCAGATTTAGAAACTAATTAATGTGTTGGTATTTTTCATTAGAAAAACTGGAAATTCTAATACTAATTCACATAATAAAAGAACGCAAGGATAAAATGCAACTTAGCTCATTTTATTATCAATAAATATTTACCATAATAACTATGAAAATAAACATGGAGAGTTCGCCAGATGTAATTAAAAATTCCAATAACATCGCATATTTCATAGTGTCGTTCAGAAATCTGCAATTCCTAAAATAGAGTAGAAAGATTTAAGTAACATTAGATGGATGCGTTGGATTTCTTTTTGTCTTCATCCTCAGAAATATCGTAACTTCTGAGGATTAAGACAAAGAAAAAACTACTGTTGTAGCAACCCAAATAAGTACAAATAGTATAGAATGTTGGATATTGCTATTTCTAAAAAAAAAACTAGGAAGATAATAAAAGAAGTAAATAAAATAAAAAATTAATATAAAGTAATGTTTATTTTAGCTTATATATTTTTTTATGTAGGTGTACAGGGTACACGGTAGAGACCGACCGATTAATCGGCTTCGGCCACATTCAGCCATTATTTAAACCTTCGGCTAAGAATCGGCTTCGGCCAAAATTAAGCTGAATTTTTCGCCGAAGCCGAAGGTACTGTCGGGACGCCGCTGGACTTAACAAATCTAATGAAATTACAACAAAATAGGGTAGTGTTTAAAATATTTACGAAATAGCATTTTTTTTATAAAAGATTAACACCCTGTATCTTGAAAACGAAGCATCTGTGGACCAATGTTTATATGGACCTTTTGTATTAAAATCACTCAAATAATCGTCTGTTGAATTTATTGTACATACTTAATTAACACCCTATACATAATATACATATGTATATTATATTTCCAAAACATTATGCATTTATTTTTGACATACTTCTATGTTATCGTATTTTTGTTATTAATTAAAAAATATTTTCGGCTTCGGCCAAAAAAATCACATTCAGTCGGTCTCTAGTACAGGGGATGCTCACTTTTTTTGGGCCACACCCTGGTAACCTCGCTTTATCTTAAAAGATACAAACTCACTCAAATTAAGGCAAATTTTCGGCGATAATTTCCAAATGAATTCGTTCTCGAATTGCGAAATATTTCCCTGATTTAGCCGACTCGATATTCTCATGGTGACCGAAAGAAAATTTACAGTTTACAATTTTTCATTTCTGTGGAAATGGCACAAACAACAATAATTAAAACTGTGCCTTGGGGGTACCGTGTTCGATTTAAAGTAGGTAATCATCGTATTCTCAAATATTATTTTTTATTTTCCTTACCTCATTATGTCTATATGTTCTTTAGCGTAAATCCTTATAAATTTGTTCACATCAAGCGTGTCAATATCGTTCATACTTTCTATGTTTGCTCTTAACATCTTTAGTCTTAAAATGACAGTGAGGAACAGATTAATCAAAATAATCTGAAAGGGGCAATAAATGCTGACCCCCATTAAAGCGAAGTAATAAGCTTGAATTAGTAGCAACGCTAAGTAATGCTTGCTTTCTTCAAATGGTACCCAAAATTCGTAAGGTGTGGCTGTATACGTATTTATGGTAATATTGGTACTCTTTTCTGAGGCTTGTACTACCGCGTATTCAACAAAAGCAGGGACAACCAAAGCTACATAACAAGCCAAAATATTTGACATATAAAACACCTGCACTCTTCTGGTCTTTGTGACTATTTGTTCGTTTATCTTTAAATGTTTTTCGGTTCCGACGTCTGCCAGCTCTGCTTCGTATGCGATCATCTCAAATATTAACTCGTCAAAATTTTCTGACATGCTCGTTACTAAATTTATATATATAACAATAACCAAGATTCTGTCATTGATATACTTAAATAACATTTCCTTGGATCCATGGAAATCCTTATTCCCATCAAATAAACAAAAGAGGAATAAGAATAAAAGTGCGTGCGTTACATATCGGTATAAAATGTATATGCGTTTGTGTGAATTAATTAAACCGACGGGGAAAATACCTCCAACTACCATTAGATATTGAACATAATGCAAGAAAGGTGAATCCATTTCCTACAAAAAAAAAAAGAACGTAAAATTTGCGGTGGCCTACTATATAAAAATGATATACGAAAACCAAAATTATTGGAAAATAACTTAAATAAATGATGGAAAGATATGTACATATCTACTGTAAAATTTGAAAGTAAGTAGACAGCAGAATAGGCAAGTGAAAAGAAAAAAACAGATTAGAAAAAGTGAACACAAAGATACCAGAGAAGAAAATATAAGGAAATTGTAAAATCCAACATTTATTTGTTATTTACCACTTTGACGAATTTAAATGCACTTATGCACCTCTAACCAAAATCACTTTGCAATAAGAGCATTAAAACAAAGAATATATACCTATGTCTCTTATGAATTTTTAAAGACTGCAAGTACAAATTACATTTCATCCAGGTAGAAATAATTGCAGGTGTACGTATCTCAGACAACACCATATATTACGAGAATATTCTCTAAACCTTCTAAAAAGATTATATATATTCTGAATAAACCTAGAAAATTCATAGAATATTAATATGCTTATTATAAAATATTCATAGAGGTTCCGTTTTTAAATATACCTATGGTATTCTCCATAGATACACAAATAATAATATCTCGGGAATATTCTTCAAATGATATTCCTAATACATTCTCAATAGGATATAGGTAGGTAGTTTAAAAAAACTGAAATTTTTATTTAATAGGTGAAACCGTAATAAAACGGCGATAAAAATAAGTTACAACAAAACTACCTTCATCAAATTTATTGGGAAAGAACTCACTAAACCTATTTTCTCTAGGACAAAAATGTACAAATTAACAAAAATTGGTGAATATTTTTCCCACTAATTTAATTATAAAGTGTAGTGCATAATAATGTATTTTAGTACCTACTAAAATAATAATAAAACTTTTGATTGATTACTTACTGATTAAGTAATTGATACTTAAAAAAAGTTTTTATATTCGAATTTAAATTATAATTATATAATTTGGTAAAATTTTGATTACAAATTATTTAACGCTTATTATTACATAATTTACAATAATGCTTTTCGAGCTTTCTTGGAAGCAAAATCAGCAATTTTTTTTTTCAAATTGGTGGGGGCCTATAATACAGGCAGTGACTAATCTGCCTACGCCTAAATCCGGCGCCGTCTTACCATTTAATCTAAAAAGGTTCTTATGAATATTATTACTTCAAGTTTGACCAAAAAGTCCGTAAGTATAGAGTCGTAAAAATGTTGGACTAAAATTTGAAATGTTGATAAATATACAGGGTGGGCCATTAGTGTGAGAAAGTAAAATAACTCCCTTGTAGTGCAGCGATTTGAAGAGTCTATTGTGTCGTTTTTTTTTTTTTGACGTAGAACCAGGTCAGACATGGTAGGTTTTATTAAGCATGTGATTGGGCATATGAAATGGTATTTTACGACATTTTTTGTTGGTCGGGATCTTTTTAATTTCGAAAAATTAAAGAAAAATCTATTTTTATGAGAACATGTTTTTTAAAGTCTCCACCGTTATATCTCAAAAAATAATTGTACTATCAGAGTAATTTTTTTTTTAAATTAAAGCAGACATAATAGCGCTTTTAACAGTACTAATGGATTTTATAAAAATCGCTTTTTCATTTCGCTAAAAATCAGGAAAACTTGATATTTAAATTTTGTGTAATACAATTTTCACCAATCGATAAACTTTTTTATTTATGATTTTTTTTATATACATGCAGCGAAGAAAATGAAGCCCAAACACTACATAAATTTTTGAAATAATTAGTTTTTTCCTAAAGCTTATAGTTTGGCAACAAGCGATTATTTCATAGCGCGCTAAACTGATGCATGGGGCGTCCAACGTAATGTGTAATCTACATAGTGTACGGCTTGCGGGATTTGGAGTA